TAGGGGGCATGTCACGTGACCCCTGCCTGTGTCCACTGACTCCACATTATTTGGGGGCTACCTAACAGTTGAAACTGCCCCTGAGGTATTTGGGTGAAGAGAACAGGGAAGGAAAGCAAACATTCATTATCGTCTTTCCTGGAAACTGCCAACGCTTTGGCCCTGCGAACCCTCACTTCACCGGGGTGGTTTTTACCTCCTCATCTCACTCCTTCATGTGTGGCCTTAATTATTTTCTCCTTCAGTTACCTGATAGTTATGTTTCCCAGCTAAATGACGGGCAAGAGCCACAGGTGATTCAAATAGAAGGTACTGTATTCATATTTACTCTAAAAGCATACAATGAAAACAGAAAGTCTCTCTTCTGAAAGATTATATAATGAAGCTCAAGGAGTGATTTTTAAAAATTCAATTTCGGTATAACTGTAGATCTTAAAATAGCTATAAAATCGTAGTAACTTTTTACGTTTTTCAGTGTAAAATGAAAGTGAAAAGCATCCTACTCACTGGTAAACATGTAGTAAAACCTGCATCGAGGTTTACAGTTTCATTTGAAAAACCACCTCCAACAGAAAATTATTTTTTAAAAGATTTAAAAAAATTACCTAATTTCCCTTTGAATGACCCCCTCCCCTCTTTCAGGAAACCAGTGATCTTCACAGGCTAGAATTTTCTTGAGTCAAGGTTTGGTTTTACTTCCTAGACCCCTCTAGTCATTTCAAGCCAACCATCAACCATTTGATGTTCAACCAGATAACACGGAACAGCTTTTAAAGCTTCCAGTCTTGAGAAGTTCAGTTTCTCAGCAGAGCCTTCTAATGGTTCTTCTTGTGCCCAGTGGTGTCCCACTGTGGGACCCCATGACCGCAGCCTGCCAGGCTCCTCTGTCCATGAAGTTTTCCAGGCACGAATGCGGGGACAGGTTGCCATCTCCTACACCGGGGGCTCTTCCAGATCTAGGGCCTGAAGCGGCGTCTCGAGTCTCCTGCATTGGCAGGCACCACCAACGCCACCTGAGCTCTTCCTATTAAGCCAAAATTCCCATCCCTGAGCGGCTTTACGGTCACTTTTCACTTTCATGCACTGGAGAAGGAAATGGCAACCCACTCCAGTGTTCTTGCCTGGAGAGTCCCAGGGACGGCGGAGCCTGGTGGGCTGCCGTCTATGGGGTCGCACAGAGTCGGACACGACTGACGCGACTTAGCAGCAGCAACCCATCCCGGAAACCTAACCAGTTACCAGCACCCCTACCCACATCACTGCCCTCCTCTGAAACATCTTGAGCTTGACTGCATCTCCAGCAAGATACACCTGGACGGAGCAGATGCTGCAGTCACTGGAACAGAGGGCAGAACGACCACCTCCCTCCGTCTAGAGTCTACTTTCTACGAATGCGAAGCTTTATTTCACTGCCACTCACTACTCACGGTGCTACCAATGACCATCTGTGAGCGGCTGCCGCTTTTTTCCCCCTAGCATTTGCTACCGATAAGCCACAAGTCCATCTTAATCTTGCAAAACTGCTTTCTTAACCTGAGTGTACACCCGTGTCAACATTCAGAAACTGTTCTTATATAAATTGTTCTCCAGGAAAACTTTTTAAGATTCACTTTCTTCCTTTTTTAAAAACCTGTAATGCCGTATCTTCACCTCCAGACTTCCCGTGTTGTCCTGGGCTCCACGGTTTCTCAAAGATTTTGACCTTAACAAGTTGCACCATCATTATGACTATGTCTTTCCTGTCCTTCGGGAGACTTCATCCAGACGGGGAGCTCAGGTGTCTTCTTCGACCTGGGGTTTCCATTTCTTTCTCCGAGTTTTCCTCAGTTTTCCATCTACTGAACATTCTCTAAGACATACAGTACAGAGGTAATCCAGGGCTCTCTGTCATCCTCAATACTAAATGGTCAGCCCCAAGGAGTAGCTGTTGGCCCCCTTATCTTTTTGCTCCACACAGGACAATACATTTCTTTTATCTCTCCCTCTTTGAAAGGTCTCCACTCATTCTGAGCTTGGGTTTTCTTGATACTGTTTTTGCAGGTCCGGTATACCTTTCCATGGGCTTCCCAGGTGGCGCTAGTGGTCTTTACCACTTTACCCACATGCCAATGCAGGAGATGTAAGAGATATGTGTTCTATTCCTGGATTGGAAAGATCCCCTGGAGGAGGAAACGGCAACCAACTCCAGTATTCCTGCCTGGAGAATCCCACGGACAGAGGAGCCCAGCAGGCCACAGTCCATAGGGTCACAAAGAGTCGGACACAACTGAAGTGACTTGGCACGCATACCTATTCATCGTTGTTCATATTTTCCTACGGTTCAAAAAAATCTGAGCAAAACAGAGAACTGCTGGCACAATTACCATCCTTTGTAGAAAAAAATGAAATAAAAAAGGTCCTCATCTGAACTTTGTTTTGGACATTCAGAGCCGTCCTGAGTCATTTTTCCCTGCATAGGCGTAATTTCTACATTTCTCTTATTTTAAAAAAGAATTTCAAAAGGTCGTGAACCCCAAACCAGAAAACTTCTAAAGGAAAACACAAGGCAGAAACTTCATGACACAGGATTTGGCAATAATTTCCTGGATATGACACCACCACAAGCAACAGAAGCAAATAGAGGCAAATGGGACTACATCAATTTAAAAACTTTTGTGCATGAAAAGACACAACAGAAGGACATCTCTGGTGGTCCAGTGGTTAAGAAAATACCTCGCAATGCATGGGACGTGGGTTTGAGCCCTGGTTGGGGAACTAAGATCCCACATGCTACAGAGCAGCTAAGCCCCTATGCCACAGCTAGCGAGTCTGTGAATGCAATGAAAAAGCCCACATGATTCAGTGAAAATCCTACAGGCTGCAACTAAGGCCCGACGCAGCCAAATAATACATCATCTTAAAAAGACACAACAGAGTGAAAATGCAACTGATGGAATGAGAGATGAGATTGTGAATCATATATTTAGTAAGGGGTTAATATCAATAATATAAGGAACTCCTATAACTCAACAACAAAAATCAAATTATTTGGCTTTTCTCAAAATGCAAAGGATTTGAATAGGTATTTTTCCAACGGAGATGGACAAACTGCCAACAAGCATATGAAAAGATGCTGAAGGTCACTAACCATGAAAGAAATGCGTCAAAACCACAGTGAGATATCACCTCTGACACGTTAGGATAGCTACTATCAAAAAAGGACTATTTTTAAAGTAAGATGCTTACTGGACATTAGTATAGGACACTTAAAAATGGTTAAGATGGTAAATTCATGTTGTGCTTTTTAAAATCAAAATAAAAATAGGTCTTGGAATAATTACAGACTGTGAAAAACCTCCTTGTTGACGATCGTGCTCTCTAAAATGATGGTTTCTTCTAAGGGTCCTCTCATGCATACTCTTGCCAGTTCCTTTCAGTGAGTCAGTATTAGGACCAAAGTAGCAATTCTAGTCTTGAACTGTCTACCCTCTAAAGATGAAACCACCAATAGGGCAAATCAATAAACGCTCAGGTATTCTGTTACTTGAGAATTCTGATAGCTACTTAGCTGAAGTTCCGCATCACGCGTCTCCTCTGCCCTGATTTTGTAAACGGGAGTTGAAACCTGAGCCGGTCATCACGCTGGCTATAGAATCCATAAGAAGCCCCTACTGCACAGTCAATGCTAATTCTCTCCCGTTTCCTCCTACTTCTCTCTAGAAGGCTCCTGCCCTCGCGTTTCTCCACTCGCTTACAGCTTCTGGATACATGCTGCTGCTCTGCTCTTCTGCCCAGCTGGTCACATTTTTCATTTGAACAAAGAATTCCTGCTCATGGCCATATCTCCGTGTCATGCCCTTTTGCTCGCGCGGTTACTTGAGCCATCTAAGAAATTCTATTTATCACTCTGGCAATAATCTCCAGTTCAATTTCTTAATTACTCCTGCTTCACCCAAATAAGCATTGCTTCTGTCTTCCATTTCTTCTTGGTTTATCATGTCATTCACCAAATACTGTGCACTTTCCTATCAATGTCAAACCCGCTTGCTTCCGCAATAATCAGTGTCATGAGATTAGCAGGATATTTGTCCCTTCCCCCCGCCCCCCACTTTCAGTTTAAAGCATGAACCTTATACACTGGAGGTCCTCAATAACTATTTGCTGAACTGAATTGAACTAACCCTAATAATGCCTGCCAGGGCAAGCAGACAACTTGAGTCCTCCTTTCACATGACCATAGTTGAAGACATCTGTCATGCCTGGTTAGGGAATTTTTATTTTTTTCTTTCCTCTCAAGAACTGAAGTCATATTCTCCATCTGAAATAAAAACTGAAGAACCGACAGATCACATGTCTTCTGGAAAATGCCATTTTCTTCTTGACCTCTGGAAGCAAGTGGGTTTTACATTCCACTAACACCCCAATCGCTATGAGGACTCGGTTCCACCAAGGGAGAATCACTGGTCTTTGGTGCGGAAAATAATCTAACCCTGACAACCTAGGCAAGCACTGCCCATCTTTCATTTGCAAAATAGGAATAAATAAATAGGGACATGCTGAAGAAATTCAGATAATACATCTGAAAGGCTTTTGAGACACAAACACTAAAAATTCTAAAAAGATGTGTATCATCTTTTCAAACAGAGCTTTTCCATTTGCAACGGAAGTGGGTGTTGCCGTGGCTTACAGAAGGAACAAAGCTACAGATCTTGCCTTACGAGTATGGTTGAGATGACAGCAATGACAGTATTTCTACTGTCTTTAGTTTCCTCCATCTAAGTCCTTTACTATCCACCCTAAAACAGAAGCCAAGACATGCTGACTGGGTTTCCAAGGCTGTGCGGTAAGCCAGGGTAAACGCGTATATGGGAACCAGACGTTCTGCCAAAGAGACCGTGTATTCCTGATTTCGCCTCCCTCCTCCTGCTTCCACAACGGGCTCTGGCGATGGGGAAGAGTCAGTGCTGATGCGATGCAGGCGCCATCTGTGGTCTGTGAGGACTTAAACAGCGGCCACCAACCTTCCATATGTGAGCGGACCACGGCTGCCCCGGAGTTAACGGACTAGCAGACGGGAACACACCGCTCTGCAGGAACCAAGGCTGCAGAAATCAGCATGAAGCAACACCCACACTCCTCGAGCGGAGCACGAAGTCAAGCCTGTCACCCAGCTGCTCCCCCCCAGTTCTCACCTTATCTCCATGTGAGTCCCACCATCAAAGGAGGGGTGAAGAGGGAGCCGGCTCCATCCATCCACGTGGCCAAGGCTGCCATTTTGCCCGGATGGACTGGGCTCTTGCCCTGCAGCCTTCCCCAGCCCCCCGTGGGAACGAGGGCACCAGGCTTGCAAATGACATCAACGGTCCTGGATGTAAGCCTCCAATGAGAAGGGCGGGATGTCCAGGATGGAGACTATGGAGCATGAAGGCAGGGGCCTCTTCTGACATTTTTTTTGGGGGGGGGGGCCATTGCACTTGGCATGCATGAGGGATCTTAATTCCCCAACCAGGGATTGAACCTGTGCCGCTGCGTTCAGTATGTGGAGTCAACCACTGCACCGCCAGGGGGAACCCCCTAGGGCCTATTTTGGACGGTGGAGTCACCTCTGGTGGCCCTGCTGCTGAAGCAGGTGAGGCAGAAATTTCCACCAACGACTGGCAGGCTGTGTCCAGTTTCTGTGGGGCTGAAACACACTTTTCACGCTAACTCAGGGGATGGTGAGAAAAGGAAATAAGCCACAGGTGCATCCAGAATGGCCCTTGGAGGCTGTCCTGGGCCACCTACTTTGAATGTGGCTTGGAACTGTGATGAAAGACCTCTTTACTTACAGCTCCTAAGCAGGGAGACAACTTTTTCTACTCTAAAGGAAGATATCTTCTGAATCCTGAAAACAAACTTTTGATTTCTGAGAGACACCAAATCTCAAGGATAACAGCTGTTTGGGGCGAATCAATGTATTTCAGAACATACCTTTAAGGATGCGAGTTCAGCACCTACAATACTTGGTTGGGGGTGTTCCAGTATTTTGATGGAATTTTAGTCCTCAAAGCTGGAGACCAGACTACAATGGAAAACAAGCCCTCCGGTTTCCTTGCTCTATTAGAGCAGGAAATATTCGGCTCCTGTGAGTGAGGACCCTAGAGCTCATCCACAGCGGATGACCAGCAGCCTTCCAGTCCAGCGGAGTTTGAAAACCTCAGCCATGCTAGCAGGTGTCTGGACGGCACGATCATTTCTTTAGCAAGTGTAGGAGGCCAGGGCTTAAGAATCTCTGGGCAGGGTCATCTTCGGGGTAAAAATACTGAGGCCGAAAGCAAAAGGGAAAACTCATACCACTTCTCCTGTCCTCTCTGCTGACACCACCTCGCCTCTCTCCTTCACCCTGATGATCTTCCTGGGTCCTCCATCCCAGGGAGGCTGAAGAGTCTTTGGGTAAATGTTCCTGACATGGACTGTGTTTCCAGTAGCGATGACCTGCTTTAGAGAGCAAACTGTATGCTCTTCCATCTGACCTTCCAGATTCCTCCCAAACGACTCCCCTTTCAACCTCATCTTCAGTTATCCTCTTGAGCCTGACCGCCAGCCTTTCTCCGCTTCTAGCATTTGCTCAAGCTGTGCTCACTGCCCAGGTCCATTCTTCACATTGCTTTACTGATGCCCAATGTACCCATGAAATCTAGGAAGGACAGGGGGCAGAGTGTCCTTCAGTATGGAATGCACGGCCAAGGGAAACCGTTGTGAAGGAGGTGGCGATTAAACCGGATGCCCACCCCCTCACACACACTCTGGACAAGAGCTGCTGCCCACAGACCCCCAGCTCTGGCATTCAATCACATGAGTACATGAGTGCTGTTTTCCATTGCTATCTGAATGTTGTGCCTTTAAAAAAATTTTAAATTTTATTAGTAATGTGCTGATTTTTGCTGTAATAAAAGTGATTCAATTATACATGTGTATATACATATTATTTTTCATATTATTTTCCATTCTGGTGTATCACAGGATACTGAATATAGCTCCCTGCGCCGTCCAGTAGGGCCTTTTTTGCTGTTTATCCATTCTGTATAAGAGTCTGCATCTGCTGATCCCAAACCCCCGGCCTTCTCTCTCCAACCTCCCTCTCCCTTGGCACCTATAAGTCTGCTCTCTCCGTCTGTGAGTCTGCCTGTTTCATAGATAAGTTCATTTGCGTCATATTTTAGATTCCACATGTAAGTGATGTCATATGGCCTTTGTCTTTCTCTTTCTGACTTGCTTCACTTAGTATGATCATCTTTCAGTTCAGTTCAGTCGCTCAGTCGTGTCTGACTCTTGGCGACCCCATGGACTGCAGCACGCCAGGCCTCCCTGTCCATCACCAACTCCCGGAGATTACCGAAACTCATGTCCATCGAGTTGGTGATGCCATCCAGCCATCTCATCCTCTGTCGTCCCCTTCTCCTCCTGCCCCCAATCCCTCCCAGCATCAGGGTCTTTTCCAATGAATCAACTCTTCACATCAGGTGGCCAAAGTATTGGAGTTTCAGCTTCAGCATCAGTCCTTCCAATGAACACCCAGGACTGATCTCCTTCAGGATGGACTGGTTTAGGTCCATCCAATTGGCTGCAAAAGTGTCATGCCTGTCTCGATAAGAAATTCCTAAAGGTCTGCTTTTATGGGTCATCTACATGTATTCTAATAAAATCTCAAAAATATCTGCATTGTAAAGAAGAGTTTGTTGTTTCTTTTCAGAAGCCAATAATATCATCACACGTTTTAAAGGAATTCACAAAAGGCCACATTTTGACCTCTGTTGGATGATACAGTATTCACAAAAGGTTAAATGATAGGAAATTAGTAGGTCACAGAGAACTACTGGGGTCATGAGGACTTTTGTGTACATCCTAGGTATCTTGTATCAACAATAATCAATCCAAAGATATTTACCTGAGCATTTGCTGTGCTGGGTGCTGAGGTAAACAGACAGTCTTACCCTGGAGGAACTCATGATGCATTATCCATAGTTGGGGAGAGCAATTAAATGTTAAACTATACATTGTCCAGACTCCCGGTGTGACAGACAGTGCGAGAAGCAGGATGGGTCTGCCGGGCTGTGTGATAGCCTCTAGCACTAAACTTGAATGAGGGCAGGCTGGAGGACGGAAGCGCACACGACCCATGCCCTCCAAATACTACGATCATGACCACGGCAGATGTCAGAAATAGCCTCGTGGCCATCTAGAAGAAAAGATCTTCCACAAGCATCTTGTATGTCACACCTTTGTCTGCCAGAGAGAAACCACGGCCCTCCACCCCATCTGCATGAAACTTCAGCTGGCCCTCCTAAAAGGGACGCCAAGGTAGAAACAGAGATGATCTGTCAAGAGAGGCCGGTGGTGCATAGAAAACCACAGAACACAACAGATGGGGCTTCGGGGGGCACCTGCGCACCATCGCCGTAGGAACTGCAGGAGCGGGAGGCTGGTCTGAACGTGGGGGCTGGGAGAGTTACGTGGACGAGCAGCCCTGTTTCTTAGGATGCCAAGTGAGAATCGTAGGATTTCACATCTGGGGGATGGGAGGGAGCTTCTAGATAAACTTGAGAAAAAGCAAAGTCAAAATCCTCTTTTACAAACTAAAGGAGGGAAAACGACATAGCGGGGAAGACATTTCAGAAAGTCAAACAGGAAAAAACAAAAGAATATAAGGTAACGAGATAAAATGATGAAATGTCTAAGAAGCAACTGCCATCAGCAAAAGAAGCCGGGCAGGGTCAGAGGTCACAGGTCGCTCCGGGGGACAGTGGGTGTCACGGAGGCCCTGTGAAGCCCAGGGTCCCTCCTGAGGGCATGCCGTCCTGCCAGCCCTGGGGCCGGGACTTGAGCCGCCCCATTCCCAGCTCTGCCCCTGAAGCCAAGCGCTGCGCCGGCCAGAGGCACAGACCGTCCGACACCCTTGCTCTTAGTGGGAAGGGAATCCAGTTTGCTCCTCACCACGGTCACAGAACAGACACCAAACACTTCCTCTGGCATATGGAAGGAGCAGAATGTCAAAGGGGGTTTTTACTCCACCTGACCAGATAATTAGGTAATTAGCACCGTTAACCGGCAGGGCACAGACAACGTGTATTTGTGTATCTCTAGGGAGGCATGTTTTTCAAAAATGTACCATCAAGTGCTTTTTATTACACTTTTTTTTTTTCCTGGAGAAGCATTTCATTTCTCAAAAAGGATGCTGGGCACGTTTCCTGTCCATCCCAGTATGGCCCTTTCTCACTGCGTCAAGCTGGACTGCAAACAACGAAGAAGCTGTTTCTGATCCCCCACGGATCTTACAACAAACCCTGCGGTGCTGGCTGGCTCCTTTCTCCCCTCCAGGCACCCCCCACCCACCCTGACTGGGGGACACATTTCAGGAACGCTGTCTTGCTGAAAAATAAAAAAGACCAGGAGAGGGAGCACCAGAACACAAGAGGGGTATAGATCTGGGTCTCAGGGCAAGTCGGAGAAGGAGAACGGGGCAAGGAGAAGCCAGCTGCCTCAACAAATAGATGTGGAATCTGAACGGTGTACTTCTCAGGGCGGGAGGAACGGGAATTTGGGATCTGTTACTTGTTCACCACACCGAAAACATTTCCAGCCAATCATAACAAAAGAAAACCTAAAAGGCCATTTCATTTGCTCTTCATTCATCCTGGATAATAACATTATTTCATCAACTGCTCTATCTGTTGTTGTGGGGTCCACCACTAAGTCTGTACGTGCAGAGGGAGGATTCATTCTGATTAGGCTTCTCTCCTGCGTGCTGAATTTCCTTCAGCTCTGAGGGGAAGAGCGATATAAATACTTTAAGAGACTTAATGCACTTTACTTGTATAGTATTAATAACACTCTGGGCTCCCCTGGTGGCTCAGTCGGTAAAGAGTCTGCCAGCAATGCGGGACACTCGGGTTCAATCCCTGGGTTGGGAAGATCCCCTGGAGAAGGAAATAGCAACCCACTCCAGTACTCTTGCCTGGAGAAATCCATGGACAGAGGAGCCACAGACAGTGGGCTATAGAGTCCATGGAGTCGCAGAAAAGCTGGACACGACTGAACGATTAACACTCGCCTTTCACTTTTCAAGAACACCTTAGAGCGGGCACCTTCCCTGGGTCGTGTGAGTTCACTTGCCACTTAGTGATGTGGGAGCACCTGTGTCAGCCTGGCGAGCGTCCAGTCTCACCTGGAGACCAGTGGGCCCCAGTTGCACCGCAGTCCTTGGTTGGAGGAGGTGTCCGAGCTGGGGCCTGTGA